CTCAGCATTATTTGAGATGCAATAGCCTTATCACGTTTGCTCAAAAGTTACACATACATGGGCTGTGACTAAAAGTGGGATGGGGACGCGGGACTCGGGGACGTGGGACGCGGGGACTCAGGGACACGCAGGGACTTGGGAACGTGATAAACAAACAACACCTGGTATTTGCGCTGAATTTGTGGAGTATAATTTCTGGTGGTCTTGAGAAAGCTATGATATGAGCTTGTTAGTAGTAGCTGATGGTTTTCAGCGTCCATGGTTTGGCCAGACATGTTTGCTTGCCTATTTGACCATGAGAACTCTGGGTACAGAATAGTTTCAATGCAGGGGGTCTTGAAACTGTTAAAAACATCATGGGCAGCTATAGAGGACTTTCCTGGTAAGTAACTCTGTTTTCTTCTCAATCTTTTAACATCTGTGCCTTATTCTTGCTAAACAAGAATAAGGAATAAAACACAGTTACTTACCAAGAAAGTCCTCCATGGCTGTCCATGATATTTAAAACCCCCTGCTTTTAAACTATTCTGTACCCAGAGTTCTCACAGTCAAACAGGTGAGCAAACACATCTGGCCAAACCACAGATGCTGGAAATCATTGGCTACTACTGACAGGCTCTCCAGCATATTATACCTTTCTAGAGACCACCAAAAATTATACTTAACAAATTCAGCACAAAAATCAGGTTTGTTTATTAGGTCCCCAAGTCTCCACGGGTCATTGCGTCCCATGTCCCCAAGTCCCACAACTCCGAGTTCCACGTCCCCGAGACCCTGCGTCCTGTGTCCCACATCCCCAATTCCCACATCCCCAGTCCTGGTCCCCATGTCCCCATCCCACTTTTAGTCACAGCCACATGCTTGTACAATTTTCAAACATAACTCAGTAATTTGTGATTGTAGCTTAGTAAATTGGGATTGCAACCTTATAATTTGCAATTGGAAGATAGAAACATGCAATAGCATTTTATTGACTTCAGACAGAAACTCAGTGGTCTAAGAGTGTGAGTTATTAACATGTGATTGCAAGTTGGTAACATATGATGAAAATTTAAGTTAGTAACAGCTTTGCCAAAGTGATGGGAAAAAGCTGGTGTGCAAGCTTAGAAAGCTAGTATACTGTGAAAATGGGATGAGTTGCATTTTGAGGATCTTTTTTCATCCAAGCAGTCAGTTTACACTTTGGAAGTTGAAATTATCTTAGGTTGCTGCTTATCTCAGCTCTTTAAGCTATGGACTGATTTAAAAAACAAAAATAATTACAAATGTTGAAAACCTATCCATATTAAAGTAGCATTTAGTATGAAACATGACAGACAGCTTATTCAACGAGAACAAATACCCTGACCATGCTTTTTTGAAAAAACAACCTACAATGATGACTTCATCTGATGAAGCACTCTCTGATCTACTGCAGGTAACTAAACAAATGACACTGCAACCTGTATGACTACAGCAACTGAACTGTACGTAGAGTGCATGTCTCTGAACATCTCTTACAACCCTTCAATGCCCAAGTCACCCACAGACTCAGTACTTTGCAGTGAAAAGAACTGTCTTTGTTGCCAACCAAACAATAACATGAACTTACCATCTCTCTTATTTCTATCTACAAACATTATGCTATCAACATTGCTAATCCTAGCAGTATGCAGGACGTGTCATATGAACTTTATAATAGACCTCGCTCACCATGGAGTCTCT